CTCCTATGGTCCTTGAAGACCTCAAACTAAACCCTGTACAAATATTCTCACCATAGCTAAAGCACAAACACTACGACTACCAACTCTAAATCATGGGTACAATAGTTTCTCTCATGGGCCTTCAACTGCTAGAAGTATAGGAAATCACCTTATCCTTCTGCATAGAACAACGCCTAACCTGACTCCACAAGCATCACAATAAACGGTGAAATCCACACCCTCCTCAGGTAAAGTCTAAAAAAGAGTCGATGTCAATGAGGTCTTGAGCTTCATAAAGCTCTCCTCACACTCGTCAGAACACTAAAAACTCACACTATGATGAGTCAATCTAGTCAAGTGAGATGCAATAATTGAGAAGCTCTGCACAAATTGTCGGTAATAGCCCGCAAGTCCCACAATACTCCAAATCTCAGTAATCGATAGAGGTCTGGTCCAACCCATCACTGCCTCAATCTTGGTTGGATCAACCCAAATACCCTCATTGGACACCACGTGTCCCAAAAATTCCACGTATTCAAGCCAAAACTCATACTTCAAGAACTTGGCATAAAGTTTATCTACCCTCATCTCTGGGGTACAATCATCAAATGTTGATCGTGATCCTCCTCAATCTTGGAGTACACCAAGATGTCATCAATGAACACTATCACAAAGGAATCCAAATAAATCTAAAACACCCCGTTCATCAACTCTATGAACGCTGCGGGGGCATTAGTCAAACCTAACGACGTCACAAGAAACTCATAATGACTATAACGAGTCATGATAGTTGTCTTAGGGATATCCGATGCTCAAATCTTTAGCTGATGATAACTAAATCTCAAATCAAACTTAGAAAACAGAGATGCACCCTGAAGCTGATTAAACACACTATCAATACGAGGAAAATGACACTTGTTCTTCACTTTCACTTTGTTCAATTGTAGATAATCAATAAACATCTTCATGGATCCATTTTTCTTCTTCACAAAGAACATAGGAGCACCCCATGGAGAGACACTAGGGCGAATGAACCCCTTACTCAACAAATCTTACAATTGATCACTTAATTCCTTCGACTCAGCTGGAGTCATATGATAAGGATGAATAGAAATGGACTTGGTGCCCTGCTTCAGGTCAATATCCCTATTTGGAGGAGCACCTAGAAGATTAGTAGGTAAGACATCTACAAACTCTCGAACCAGGGAAACATAATCCATAGGAGGTAGCTCAACACTAGTATCTTGAATGAAAGCTAAGTAGGGAAAACACCCTCTATCAACCAATCTCTAAGCTCTAATAAAAGAGATAACCTTGCTAGGGTAAGAACCACTAGCACCCGTCCACTCAACTTTCGGGACACCCGACATTGCTAAGGTCATAATATTAGCATAATAATCAAGAATATCATGATGCGGAGAAAGCCAATCTATACCTAAGTTAATATAAAAGTCTACCATTCCCCAAATGAATAGGTATACCCAAGTATCATACCCGACCAAAGAAACAAGACATGATCGATATACTAGATCCACCACTAAGGATTCACCCACTGGTGTAGAAACATGAATAGGCACATGCATGCAATCAAAAAACATATCAAACCCAACAACAAAATAGGTAGACATAAATGAGAAAGTAGATCCTCGATAAAACAATATAGACGCAAGTCGATGGAAAACTGAGACGATATTTGTGATCACAATATTAGAAGTCTCAACCTCAGGCCTTCTTGGAAAATCATAACACTGGCCATCTCGGCCGCCTATAGTCTGAGTAGAACCTCTACCTTCACCTTGTGGAGATAGAGTACCCCTACAGTAGTCCTGCCATCTCTACCAGACTGAGATCTGCCTCGACCTTTACTCAGAGGTGCTGAATCCCTAGCTGGAGCAGTTGAATAAGAACTTAGAGGTACTAAATGAGTCTGTAGAGGACACTGTTACATAATATGACTTAGATCCCTACAATTGACACAAGATCTCAACACATATAACTGTTATTGTGAACCATACGAATTAGCATGGCCACCTCGGCCAGAACTAGAGGATCCTCGGGCTGATTGTCCACTCTTAGATGCTGGCATAAAAGTATTAATCGACCCACGACACTGGAAGGAACCACTACCTCTATGTGGACGTTTACTTCCAGATGAGGCCCTAGAAGAACATGCCCTCTTGGGCTGCCTAAACTTCTATAAAAACATCAACTCCGCCTCCTTGGTGGTGCTCACAATGGACTCAAAGGAAGCCCTCTCTCTAGCTTCCCTAAACATATAATATTTGATAGAAAAAATCAACCCTTTCACAAATCTATGAACTCTATCAGCCTCATCCGACACAATAGTCGTAGAAGGCCTAGAAAGCTCAAAAATTGGGCATCATACTCGGTCGCAGACAAACTTCCTTGAACCAAGTTCTCAAATCTTAGACGATTCTCCTCTCTCACGCTCCACAGAATGAAGTGGTCCTGGAAAGCACTAGAAAACACATCCTACTCTGTCGGAGGAGATCCAACTAGTCTAGACCTCACAAAAGTCCTTCACCACTCTTTGGCGTGACCACGAAGCTGAAGGGCGACAAATCGAACACCACGAGCATCCACCATACCTACATCCTCAAGCATCTTATGGCACAAAGCCAAGAACTCATGAGCATCCTCGCTCTTACCACCCTGAAACTTGGGTGGTTTTATCTTCTAACCTCTCATAACACTGTTGATCAACCACTGTCAGGATAACCTAAAGAGCAAACTTTACGCCCACATCCAGTGTAGGAACCACGAGTGGCTGGCCTACCTAAATATGAACCCCTAGAGTTTGTTGTCGACCTGGGGTCTGCGCTTCGAGAGAAAGGTTCCCTACCACACCAAAAATCCTTAACAAAGTCTCCTAAAATAACGGAGCTCCAAACTCGAAAGGAACCTGATCCTTATTAATCTCAACATGTGGCTTAAGAGAAACCTCTCTAGCTCTACGTCTGGCTGGTGCCACCCCGCGAGAACGACCTCTAACCGGTTCTAATCTATGAAAATGACCTCTATCTCGGGCCCTACCTTTACCTCTAGCTGGGGCCTGCACAACAACCTCGGGGATTGCCTCCAGAAATAGAAGCTCGGGTCCTCGACATTGCCAAAACAAGACGTGACAACTCAACACTAGTGAAGGTAACCACACACGATTAGAAATGATGAATTAAAAGAAGTTTTCTATCAATCTTTGTTGCCTCCTGAAGATAAGTACAGACATCTCTGTACCGATCCTCAAAACTTTACTTATACTAGACTTGTACACACATGAGACCTATGAAACTGGGGTTCTGATACCATTTTTTCATGACCCAAAAATAGACGTGATGGCACCTGACTTTTCCACAAAGACAAGTCAGCCTCAACCCAACGAACATGAAAGAAAAAAAGAAAATAGTAAAAACAAGAGCAAGATAAAGCGAAAAACTTGTTCTTTTACTAAAACCTCGAAAATTGGGTTGACACGTGTACAAGCCACTAAATACATAAGTGCGAAATTAAGAAATAAATACACATCTCAATCTTTGTTTCTCAAATAGAACAAAGTGTAAGAAAATGAAAAATGGGCCCGCTGAATGACAAACAACTACCTCTTCAAGTCCTTGACGAGCGTCGAGATCAATAGAAGGAAAAAACATCACACGTATCCGGGATCAAATGCTACACAAGTGTAGAGCAAGGGTGAGTACCAACAACACAATACCCAACAAGCAACTGATCTTAGGTGGATTTCTATGCCTATGAACCAAATAACACCCTCATTGTGGCTAAGTTTGGAATCATTTTATGTTAATTTATAGTCGTGTTGAGTCTTTTGATTACATATATACTAACCAACATGATTAGTTGTGTAGGTGAGCTTAAATGAAGAACGACCATTGAAATGGGCATTGGGAAACACGAAAGGATCCAAGTTGAAAAGAAGAAAGAAAGAAGAATGAAGAATGAAGAAATGAATATCCAGAAGGATCCGGAGAGGGATTTTATCATTGGTTCAAGAAAGGAAAGTGAAACATAGTGGTCTGTGTCCTGAATGCTAAATTTGCATGAATTAACAATTTGGGACAGAATGGTCCGTGACACCCCCGCGTTGCGGAGAAGAGAAGAAGTCCTCAAACTTGAGTTTAACAATTCCTCCGTGTCGCACCCCAAAATGTCAGATTTGGCCAATTCGACTTAACTATAAATAGACTAATATTTTATTTATTAATTATTCTTTTTCTGGGTTTTGAAGAACCACGATTTGGAGATTTATTTCATCTGTTTTTAGGGTTCATTCCTAAACTCTTCTACTTTCGAAATTCCTATTATAAGTAGTTCTAGGGCTGCGGCTACAAGATGATTGTAAATTATTGAAGTTTTATTGATTGACATTAACTATCATATGAGTCTCTCTTATGTTCATGTTTTTCATATTTCATGCTTGATCACTATTGAGCTATCATGTGAGCTATATCCCTGGACTTTACCCAATCATTGTTCAAACCCTTTAAAAATTGAATCGCTTTTGTTTAGCTTTTCATTAAATTTTAGATTACTAAATCAATCACTCTTTTAACCTTGATAACACTTGTATTTAATTGAAAGTATTGGAAAAATCAAATTATATTAATCGTGATTCTCTGTGGGTACGATACTCGCTCTTAATAAGAGCTACTTTAATACTTGAACGACCACGTACACTTGCGTGCGCGACTAGGCGCAACAAGTTTTTGGCGCCGCTGTCAGGGACTTTAGAATTAGGAAGCATTTGATTAGTCTAATTTCTGAAGTTAAAAAGCAAGTGTTGACAACTTGATCTTAGCTATTCATTTCGCAGGTTGTGTTGAATTCTCAAACTGGAAGATGATCAGGACTTGGTAGAGCCTCTAGCTTATCCAGAAAGATTCATTCATTACCGGAGAAGGTAAATACGACGCACTTACCCAATCACTCTTGCTGCTAGTGAATCCAGAACTCCTGTAGCAAGAACTAAGCGAGAAGAACCTATACTGATGGCTGAGATGAAAGTGAGAGACACGACAATCCCACTTACCACCAGTGTAACTTTATGCATTCAGAAACCTCAAGCTGGTAAAAGATTTGAACTGAAGCAGAGTATGGTGCAACTATTGCACACAAATGGACAGTTCACTGGTTTATCGCACGAGGATCAACAAGTTCATATCCAAAATTTCCTCGAGATTAGTGACACTTACACTCCAGCTGGAATGGACGTAAATTATGTGAGGCTCATGCTATTTCCCTTTTCTCTGCTTGGGGAAGCAAAAAGATGGTTGAATTTTGAGCCCGCTAGATCTTGCACAGAAGTTCCTTATTAGGTTTTTCCCATCTGGGAAAACAGCTAAGCGAATGAGTGACATACTGAGCTTTCTACAGAAAGGAGGAGAGAACTTGTACCGTGCTTGGGACAGGTTCAAATCGATGTTGTTGAGCTCTCTGCATGATCATCAGGCTAACAAGGTGTTGGTCCATACCTTCATTGAAGGATTGGAGCCTAACACCAAGATTTTACTTGATTCAGCTGCAGGTGGACAAGCTTTGGAGAGTACTTATGCTGAGTTGTTCACCCTGTTGAACAAGATTTCACAAGGGAACCCCAAGTGGAATGGAGGAGGAGCTAAACCCGTGATACAGAAAACTGTTGGAATGGTGGAGGTAGATGCAGTGACTGCATTAACTGCACAAATTGTTGCAATGCAGAACATGATGAACACTCACTTCAACAACCTATCGCTGGGACAACAACCAACTCAGGTGAATGCAGTCCAACAGCCACCCATATGGTGTGAAATTTGCGGAGGAGAAGATCACAATGCAGAGGTATATGGTGCAAACCCGGATTCTTTAAATTTTGTAGGAAATGCACAATGTGGAGAAGGTCATCAGAACTATTGGAACTCCTATAATCCTAGTTGGCGGAATCATCCGAATTTTTTCTGGGGAGGAAAGCAGAACTCAGGCCCTTGGCCAGAATCAATATAGACCCCAGGGGGATTCACATGGGTACCAACAACAGGCTCAACAGGAGCAGCCCAACAATCAGCAAAGTAACATGAGCATGGAGGAGATGCTGAAGAAGATCATGGCTGATCAAGCTCATGTAGCTGCTGACGTTAGACATAATCAGTTACCTAACCAGAACTTGGAGAAACAATTTGGGAAGTTTGCTAGTGCCCAGAACTCACGACCTCAAGGAGGTTTGCCATGAAACACTGATCCTAATCCCAAGCAAGTGAATGTGGTAGGTACATGCAACGGGTTGTAGTTGGAGGAGTTGGCTCCAAAGAAACGAAATGTGGAAAATGCTAGCAAAGAGAGTGAACCCAAAGAGAGTGAGACTGTTGCACAAGAAGAAAGGGTGCAACCAATAGTGAAACCATCTCCACCATTTCCTCAAAAGTTTAAAAAACAGAAAGAGGACAAATGTTTCAGTAAGTTTCTTTCTCTTTTAAAGCAAGTTCATACTAATTTGCCATTGGTAGATATTTTGCAGGGTATACCCAGGAATGCGAAGTATGTGAATGAGATCGTGGCAAACAAGACGAGGCTGACTGAATATGAAACTGTAGCACTTACTGAAGAGTGCAACTCCCAAATCCCAAATAAGTTGCCCACCAAACTGAAAGATTCAGGTAGCTTTACGGTTCAAATCAACAACCTACTAAATAAAACAACTAGCTAGAAATTAAATACCCCTTACACTCCAACAGAACCTCCTCAAACTACAACCTGCACAGAAATCAGCCCAACCTAGCAATTTTAAAATACATGGCTCACAGACCCAATATTCACATTTCAACCTTCACAAATCAACAATCTAACAAATCAAATAAGTCAATCTCAATGACAAGTAGTTCAGTCGCACATAACAAGAACATCAATTACAATTCACAAGTAAGTCACTCATAAACATCAAGTGTATCAAGTAAAAATGATCATCACTAGAGAGAACCATTTCCCATTAGCTTATAACACTCGCCGGCAAAGACTTCGACCGAACAAAACTAGCCGGCAAAGACCTCGACATCATAACACTCACCGGCAAAGACCTCGGCCTAATAATACTCGCCGGTAAAGACCTCGACATAATAATTCATCACATGTCTCATCACGATGTTCAATTATCAAAGCACACAAGCAATATCACACCACATAGAAGAGACAACAATTTGCATAATTCAAGTCCACATTTATGAGCATTTCATTAATCAATCCTTACATCAAGGAAATTCACATCATCACACATAGCTTTTTTCATTTCAACCTCTTTTTATTCATTTAGATATAGCTAGTGGACAATTTAAACCCTTCACCTAATTCCCATTACTTTTAACACACAATCAACAAAGGAAGCATATGAATTCAAACTAGAATACAAGGTTTAGGAAGCTACTTGCCTTAAATCAATAAACAATCACCCTAAAAGTTGAATCTTCCCCTTCTGAATCACTTTCGGAGCGACACAATCTATTAATAAGAAAGTATTCACAAACACATTTCGGAAAAGACAACACCTACAACAATTCCCTTGAAATTTCAGTCATTCAATAGAATACCCATTTTCAAAAATTAAGGTTTAAATTTGGAAAAACAATACTTGAAAATATTACTCAAGACTTTAGGAACTCATTAGGGAAAATCATTTCAAAAATGGACTTGAAAGTCATTTCATAACTCTCTTTTACTTAATAATTCAAGTTCATGAAGAACTCCCAATTTGTCAACCCAAAATCTTGACGTAACTCATTAATTCAATAATAATAATAATGGGTAATCGAAGATTTAGAGTTAATAAATGTTACTCAATAATTTTATTTTGAAAAACCCACTTGTAATTGCCTCTACCGAGTTTTCAAAGATTCAAAAAATAAAAATGGGGAAGAAACCCCGAAATTTGGGCTTAACACTGCCACGGGTCCTCCAGGAATACGAACCCCCTACCCGCAAACGTGGATTTTAAATGACTGGACCTCCGCAAATGCGACAGGTCTCCTATGAATGCAGAGGTCAACACTTTGACCTCCCATGAACGCGGTCGAGAACCCTGATGCGGGGTTTTCACCCCCTCTTCACCGCAAATATGCCACAAGCTCTGCGAACGCGGAGGGTTGCACTACAACATAGAAAAATCTGCCAACTCAAAAATACCAAAAGGACCCTTAGGATTCATTCGAAACCCTATAAACACAAACCACATATGAAAATAATTATTCTCGATGCTCCAAACTCAATGGAACCGTCAAAATATGAATCTGAGGTGCCCTTGACCAAACATCCGTGAAAACCACAAAAAATTAACTCAATGCCTGAAAAGGCTAAAACAAACTTCGGACATCTAAAAAATCAACCAAGACCTCACCTAGGCCTAAAATCATACCCCAAATTTAATAGAACTCTCGAAATCTCGATCCGAGCATCTAAACCTTGAATTGACCAAAGTCAATCGAAAGACTAAAATTCCACAATTTCACAACTTAGGACCTCAAATCTTCAAAAAGACTTGGAAACTAAACCGATGACTCTCACATATCAGATTTCACATTTTGCGACTGATGGAACCGATAGAATCCCATTCTGACACTCAAAACTCCAAAAGACACCAAAAACTACTTTCTTATCGACTTAGCCTTTCAAACTCAAAATTTACCAAATTCTCAACTTTTAACTCAAAGTTAAAAACCAACTTTTCAAAATCAATCAAAAATGACTCGGGGTCAATATCGGGAGGAAAAAAATAGTAATTTCCATAAAAAAACAATAAATGACCGACCAGGTCATTACAATATCGACTTGCTTTACCTCCTGGATTGGTTATTATACATCTGGTATTTCATGTGTCCATGCTTAGACAATATGTTCATGACGTTGGCCATAAGATTCAACTATAAGAGGTGGAGCTTGATGAGACTTTAGCATATGAGAAAGTTCTAATATCTATTCTTGATAGGCAATTGCATCAGTTGAGATTGAAGAAGGCAACTTCAGTCAAAGTGTTATGACACAATCATCCAATTGGGAATGCTACTTGGGAGTCTGAGGCAGACATCTGAGATAAGTGTAACACCCCGTATTCTAGAAAACAAAAAATGCAAAAATTCTTGAAGTTGCCGGTGCCACCAACGGGACCATTTATGGACCGTAGGTGGGATCCGTGGTTGGCCACTTGCAGCCCCTCCCCAGAAATTCTAGAAAAATCAGCTAAGGGTCGACCCATGGTCGGATCGTAGGTCAGACCACGGGTCGTGGTCCTGGTCTATGGATCGAGGCAATCAACGCCCCTCCTATGAATCCAAACGACGGTTGACTAGGACGGACCGTCGGTGGCCTCGTCAGATTTTAAGAATGGGTCATTTGGGTCTTTTCCCTATGCGTTGGACACCTAAACTATGTCGTTTAACCTTTAAAATACGTCGTTTTGGTCAGTTTTAGCCTAGTAAATTAATTAGACTTTACCCAAGTCAACCCATTCTCCAAAAATCATCCAAGTTGAACCAAAAAGGGGAGAAAAAGTCTACCAACCCTCTCCAAGAATGAAACAAGGTTTCCTCCGGTTCCAACCCCAAAATTGAAAGATTTCTCCATGAAATTCGTCACCAGGTATATGGGATTTCACTAAGGGGTTCCTTTCACCTATTGGGTCCCTTTAATTCAGCATGATTCTTGATTCCCTTCCTTATGTATAGACTTAGGGTTTCTAGAACTTCAAATTCTTTTTGTGATTTAGATGTTAGACAAATCCAAATTAGAATATTACGTTTTCATAACTATGTTGCTTAATTCTTGCATGAAATTCATCACCCTAGTTGTGTAGATTCGTTTAGTTCATGAATTACACTTGCTAGGTCAGTTTATACAGATATACATGCATCATTTTACAAATGTTTCATTATCAATACTTAATGTTGCATTTTCAGTTAGCATGTCAGAATTTTGAGTTATCCAGTTTATTGCAGTTATGTTGTATTTTATACATTATTGTTGGGAGTAGGGTTAATACTGAGTGGACTAGGGACATTCACCCTCATAGTCCCAAAGCTACGTGCCCCCGTAGGTTAAGTCCCCTCTGTGGGCAACATATTTAGTGATCACGCCAGTCATGCTTTTATACCCCTGTCAAGGTATATTGGGTCCTCTCGATGGGGCGATACATCAGACTCCATGTTTAGCTCACGTGGTTTTATGTTATTTATTAGTAGCTCCCACAGTCAAATTCTAGTGTATTGACCAGGTTACCAGTTATATTTGAGTATTCAGTTTTAGCATGTTATGTACTTGGTCATTGCATTCAGTTTAGTTCATGTTTAGTATGCTCAATATATTCATCATGTTATTCTCATATCATTGCTCAGTTATTTCACTTATGTATTGTTGTTCAGCTTTATCCTATCATGCATGCTCAGTACCTTTCAAGTACTGACGTATACTCTGTGCTACATCTTCTCGTGATGTAGGTTCAGGTCCTCAACATTCAGATCACGCATAGATCAGTTCCCGATCTCCAATTCAACAGTATCAGTGGTGAGTCCTCATTATTCGAGGACGATGGACATATTTTCTTTCATTTTCAGTCTTTTTAGTTTCAGTTTTGCTAGAGTTAGCTGGGGACATGTCTCAGTATCTCTGGTCAGTTAGAGGCTTTTATTCAGACATAGTTAGATTCAGTTTTGGTTAGAGTTTGATCTTTCAGTTGTTATTGAACTCTAAGTCGCTTATATATTCAAACTTAGAATGGGTATTCTCCATCATTTCATTTTATATCATGTTTATGCTTCCACTCAGTATTTCTATTTTCAGTAAAATATTTAAGTATGCTTGTGATATGCCAGATCAGGGTTAGCTTAGGGTCACTCGGATCCTAGGTCCCGTGTTACATCAAAAGGGTAGCCTTGGGGCGTGACAAACTTGGTATCAGAGCACTAGGTTTAGGAGTCCTAGGATATCTGAAAAGTCAGACTAAGTAGAGTCTCTTTCATGAGTGTGAAGCACACAACACCTATTAGGGGGAGGCTACAAAGTGTTTTAGGAAAAACTTCACTTTCTTGTTATTTTTATCGTGCATGGTATGATCTTATTTTTATGACTCGACGTTATGCTTTTTTATATCATTTCTCCTTGTAGAGCTTACCCAAGGAATGCTAATGCCCGCAACGCTAATGCAACTCCTCCAGTCCCAAGTCATGAGGTTTCAAATGCTGAATTTTGGAATGTCATTCAACTTTTGGCCTGGAGTGTAGCCAACCAGAACAATCAGCCAGTTCCTACTAATGGAAATGGTGGACCAGTGAAAGCTAGGGACTGAGATTTTGTTAGGATGAATTCACCTGAGTTTCTAGGGTCGCAAGTTGGTGATGATCCGTAGAACTTTATTGATGAGGTCACTGGAAATGATAGAGTAGAGTTGGCGTCCTACCAGCTCAAGGATTTAGCTCACATATGGTTCACGCAATGGAAGGAAAACAAGGGTGAGAATGCAGCTCATGTGACTTGGGAGTGTTTTACCAGAGCTTTTCTGGATAGGTTCTTTTCAAGGGAGTTGAGAGAGGCTAAAGATCAGGAATTCATGAATTTGAGGCAATGCTCTATGTTAGTCCAAGAGTATGGACTTAAGTTCACCAAGTTCTCCAGGTATGCTCCACATATGGTTGCCAATCCCAGGGCGCAGATTAGTAAGTTCCCTTTTGGGTATCTGACCCGGTGAAGACAGAGTGTAGAAATGCGATGTTGTTAGATGATATGACTATCTCTAGGCTCATGACTCATTCTCAGTAGGTTGAGGGAGATAAGCTTAGAGAATAGGATAATGACAACAAGAAGGCTAGGACAAGAAACTATGAGTACTCTTAGCAGAAATCGGGTGGTGGAAAGTGCTCACAGTTTAGCAGAAATCTTCAACCCCAGCACCTTTATTAGCTAGTGCTCCATCCCCAAGGTTTCGACAGAATAAAAAAGGTGGGGCATCATGCTCTAGTCTCAGGGAAGTGTTTCAGGTACTAGGACCTACCCAACTTGTCCAAAGTGTGGTAGGAACTATCCGGGCGAGTGTCATGCAGGAAAGGATGGATGTTTTGGGTGTGGTCAGACTGGTCACATGTTGAGAGGTTTCCCTTCTTATAAACAAGGTCAATGAGGTAACATTAGTAGGGCTCAGTCTACTTCTTCAGCAGCACCAACAGGTAAGCCAACTCAGTAGGGTACTTCATCTGGTATAAGTGGCGGTCAGCACCAGAACAGGTTGTATGCTCTCCAGGCTCGCCAGGATCAGGAAGATTCTCCTTAGGTGGCTACTGGTATGTTGCAAGTCTTTCATTTAGATTTTTATGCTTTGTTAGATCGAGGGACTGCTCTTTCCTTTGTAACTCCATATATAGCAATGAACTTTGATGCCAGTCCAGAAACCCTCTCAGAACCCTTCTCAGTCTCTACTCCAGTCGGTGACCCAGTTATAGCTAGACTGGTATACATAAATTGCCCTGTCACAGTCTCTCAGAAAGTTACCTCAGCATATCTCTTAGAGTTAGAAATGATAGACTTCTAGATCATTCTAGGCATGGATTGGTTACATTCCTGTTATGCCTTAGTCGATTGTAAAACTAGGATTTTTCATTTTCAGTTTCCAAGTGAACCAGTCTTAGAATGGAATGGTAGTAGCTCAGTGCATATGGGTCAATTTATCTCTTACCTTAAGGCCAGAAAGATAATCTCTAAGGGGTATCTCTATCATCTAGTTCGGGTTAAGGATTTAAGCTCTGAAACCCCAACTCTTGAGTCAGTTCTAGTAGTAAATGAGTTCCCAGAAGTGTTTCCAAAAGATCTTCCCGGAGTTCCTCCCGAAAGGAAAATTAACTCTGGAATTGATCTCCTTCCAGATACCCAACCTATTTCTATTCCTCCTTACAGAATGGCTCCAGATGATCTTAAGGAATTGAAAGGCAGTTGAAAGACCTTCTAGATAAGGGCTTCATCAAACCTAGTATTTTCCCATGGGGTGCACCGGTGTTGTTCGTGAAAAAGAAAGATGGTTCTCTCAGGATGTGCATTGATTATAGGCAGTTGAACAAAGTAACAATCAATAATAAGTACCCTATCCCAGGATTGATGACTTGTTCGACAAACTTCAGGGTGCCAGTCATTTTTCAAAGATAGACCTCAGATTCGGTTATCATCAGCTCAGAGTCAGAGATAGTAATAACCTTCAGAACTCTGTATGCTCATTATGAATTTATAGTTATGTCATTTAACTAACCATTGCTCATGTAGCTTTCATGGATTTGATGAACACGATGTTCAAGCAATATTTGGACTTGTTCATTATCGTCTTTATTGATGATATCCTCGTTTACTCTAGGGTTGAGGAAGAGCATACAACTCATTAAGTGTTGTCCTGCAAACTCTCAAAGATCGTCAGTTATTCGCTAAGTTTAGCAAGTGTGAGCTTTGGTTGCAATTTGTTGCTTTTCTTGGGCATATAGTGTCTAGTGAAGGGATCAGAGTGGATTATCAGAAAATAGAGGTGGTGAAACAATGGCCCAGACTTACCTTTCCCACAGATATCAGAAGTTTCTTGGGTTTAACGGATTATTACAAAAGGTTCGTGGAAGGATTTTCATCCATAGCTTCTCCATTGACTAAGTTGACTCAGAAAAAGGTTAAGTTTTGGTGGTCAGACGAGTGTGAGAAGAGCTTCTCAGAACTGAAAACTAGGTTGACTACAACTCCTATTTTGACTCTACCAGAGGGTTTAGACGGTTATGTAATCTATTACGATGCGTCCAGAGTCGGCCTAGGTTATGTGTTGATGCAACGAGGTAATGTTATAGCTTATGCTTCTAGACAGCTTAAGGTGCATGAGAAGAACTATCTGACTCATGACCTCGAGCTTGTAGTCGTAGTATTTGCCCTTATGATTTGGAGACATTACTTGTATGGTGTTCACAAACCATAAGAGCCTTTAGTATGTGTTCACCCAGAAAGAGTTGAATCTTCACCAAAGGAAATGGCTTGAATTACTCATGGATTATAATACGAATGTGCTTTACCATCCTGGTAAGGCCAATGTAGTAGTTGATGGTCTTAGCAGACAATCTATGGGTAGTGTAGCGTATGTTGAAGAAGTAAGAAAGGAACTAGCAAAAGATGTTCACCGGCTTGCTCGCTTGGGAGTTTGCCTTATAGGCATATCAGATGGTAGTGTGACAGTCCAGATAGGATCAGGTTTTTCATTGGTAGCGGAGGTCAAGAAAAACAAGACAGTGATCCTATATTTTTTCAACTGAAGGGTGCAGTTCATCAGTAGAAAGTTGAGGTTTTCTCTCGGGGGAGATGGTGTGTTTCGCTATCAAGGTCGTTTATATGTTCCTAAGGTGAGTGAGTTGAGACAACAAATCTTTACAGAAGCCCATAACTCCAGGTATTTTATTCATCCAGGCGTCACTATGATGTACCGTGATCTTCGAGAAGTCTTTTGGTGGAATGGCATGAAAAGGGATATAGCAAATTTTGTGGCTAAGTGCCCTAATTGTCAGCAGGTGAAGGTAGAACATCAGAAACCAAGAGGTATGACTCAAGAGATTAACATTCCTACGTGAAAGTGGGAAGTGATAAACGTGGACTTCATTACGGGTTTACCTCATACTCGAAGACATTATGACTCCATTTGGGTGATAGTAGTTAGAGTTACTAAGTCCGCTCATTTCTTGGCTGTCAAGACTACAGATTCGGGGGAGGACTACGCTAAGCCTTACATTAATGAGATAGTCTGGTTGCATGGGGTTCCTTTGTCTATCATCTCAGATAGAGGTCCTCAGTTTACCTCTCATTTCTGGAAGTCATTTTAGAAAAGTCTTGGTACTCAGGTTAATCTCAGCATAACATTTCATCCACAGACGGATGGTCAGGCAGAGCATACCATTTAGACATTAGAGGACATGTTAAGAGCTTGTGTGATCGACTTCAAGGGTAGTTGGGATGATCACCTTCCTCTTATAGAGTCTGCCTACAATAATAACTACTATTCCACTATTCAGATGGCCCCTTATGAGGCATTGTATAGGCGTAGATGTAGATCTCCGTTTGGTTGGTTTGAAGTAGGTGAAGCAGCTAGGGCCAGATTCGGTTCATGATGCTATGGAAAAATTTCAAATCATTAGATATAGACTTAAGACAGCCCAGAGTCGCCAGAAGTCCTGTGCAGATGTAAGTAGAATGGACTTGGAGTTCCAAATTGATGATTGAGTTTATCCGAAAGTGTCACCTATGAAGGGGTGATGAGATTTGGTAAGAAAGGAAAGCTCAGTCCTAGATATGTAGGCCCTTACAAGATCTTGAAAAGAGTTGGTAAAGTGGCTTATGAGTTAGAGTTGCCAACAGAACTAGTAGCGGTATATCCGATATTTTACATTTCGTTGCTGAAGAAGTGTGTGGGTGATCCAACATATATAGTACCATTGGAAAGTGTGGTTGTGAAGGATAGTCTAACTTATGAGGATGTACCAGTTGAGATTCTTGATCATCAGGTTCGAAGGTTGAGAAACAAAGAAGTCGCTTCAGTGAAGGTTTTGTGGAGGAGTCAGTATGTAGAAAGAGCTACTTAGGAAGCAGAAACAGCCATGAAGGCCAAGTATCCTCGTCTCTTTCCTTCCGATTCCATTCCAGCTTGAGGTAAATAGTTCGTCTCCAGCCTTTCAGTTACTTATGCGTAGACTCAGTCTTATTGTCATGTTCCTTCAGTTTTACTTGCATTTTCATCGTATTTGCATGTTCTTAGAACTTAGTTTAGTCAGATTTCAGTTTCCAATACTTAGTGGTAGGGTTTGCATCTTCTTCCCTCCATATTCAGCTAGTTTAGTTTTCATTTAAGGACGAATGTTCCCAAGGAGGATATAATGTAACACCACGTATTCTAGAAAAAATACAGAAATTCCAGAAGTTGCAGGTGCCACCAGCGGGGACACCTAAGGACCGTAGGGTGACCCACAGACCATAGGTAGGGTCCGTGGTTGGCCACCTGCAACCCCTCCCCAGAAACTCCAGAAAATTCAGCTAAGGGTCGACCCACGACCGGACCATAGGCCATGGTCCTGGTCCATGGATTGAGACCCTCAGCATCCCTCCTTTGAAATCGAACGACGTTTGACCAGGATGGACCATCGGTCAATCCACAGTCCATCGATCATGAGCCGTCGGTGGCCTCGTCAGATTTTAAGTCAGGGTCGTTTTGGTCTTTTCCCTATGTGTTGGACACCTAAACTACATCGTTTAACCCCTAAACTACGTCGTTTAACCCCTAAACTACGTTGTTTT